GCGCCTGGCTTACATTTAACTCTTACAGCAACCATCCATTTGGATTATATTTTGTGTATGGCATGAGCTAGGAAGTTAGTTTCATTCTTTTAAGTGGGTAAGATCCTGTGCAATTTAATGAAAGTGACCAAGGCAGCATCTGTAGGAGGTAGCTTGAGCTACTATCCAGATGCATTCTTAAAAGTATCTCCTGGGCTGGGAAGGAGGCTCAATGGTAGAGTGCTTGTCTTGCTTGCATGAGGCCCTGGGTTCAATTCCTCAGCACCACATAAGCAGAAAAAAGCTGGAAGTGGCGCTGTGGCTCAAGTGGTAGAGCGCTAGCCTTGAGCTGAAGAGCTGAGGGACAGTGCCCAGGCCCAGAGTCCAGCCCCCACGACCGACCAAAAAAAAAAAAAAAGAATCTCCTTAGCTGCATAAAGACAGTACAGTGATTACCTCCCATGCAGGAGAGAAGAGAATGAAGCACTTAGGTGACGGTGACACAGCCTGGGCTGGTTCCCCATGTCCACACTTGAGAAGAGCTTATGAGGCCTGAGGAAGAGGCAGGCACAGCAAACTGGCCCGGGAAGAAGCCTGCACAATCCCCATCAATCCAGTGATCTAATAGTAACTGAGCACCTAGTACACAGGTGTCAGACACGGTTTGTATGCATAGGTGGAGCGAGCCAAACAAAAAATGTTGGCCAGGGTTGTAGCGCACTGGTAGAGCACATGCTCAGAATGTACAAGGTCTTGGGTTCAATCCTGAGCATACGTGCCCACTCCCACACAGACGATGAAAACACCCCAAAATTCTTTCCTCCATATTCTAGTGTTGTGAGGAAGACCAAGAAAATCATCAATGTGCCAGTGATGGACTGACTATAAGGGAGGGAAAACAACAGCCAGGGAAGGTTGTGACAGCCAGGGAGGAGCAGGGTGCAGTTGGGGGAAGAGGAATGCTGTGGGGACAGGGGGAAGCAGTATGTCTCTAGGATGACAACCACCACCAAGAACTACTGAAGGCCTCCAGGACCCCTCACTAAGACACACAGTGAGAAACCCTATACACGAGACATTATTCATCATGAATCAATCGGGAATGCTGTTCTCAGAAACCAGCAAGCAACTGTCAAGTACAGAGTTCCAGCTGTGTCTTCAGCAGCAGCTCAGCAGAGAGTAGAGGTTTTCAAATTCCTCAGTATGCACACCACCAATAAACACTGCTTCAAGGCTTCTGATGGCATGGCTATCACTAAGACAAGCTGAGAAGCTTTCATTCCAGAGAAGCGCCCATCCTGTGTTCCCCAGAAAGCAGGTGTGGTGATGCCTCTTCCCATGGGAGAGCTGGCACCCACAGCCCGTTTCTGTCCCCCAATCACTCACTGCACGCCACTGGCCACTTCCCCTTGCTTTGTTTGATTCCTAGAATTAGCTCTGCCTGGGTTCAGACAACCTGGCATTACACAAGGGAACCTGGATGTTTTGTTGTTGTTCTTCTTCTTCTTTTTTTTTTGGTCAGTTGTGGGCCTTGAACTCAGGGCCTGAGAGCCATCCCTAAGCCTCCTTTGTGCTCAAGGCTAGCACTGTACCACTTGAGCCACAGCGACACTTCCAGTTTTTGAGTAGCTTACTGGAGATCAAAGTCTCCTGGGGACTTTTCTGTTCAGGCTGGCTTTGAACTGTGACCCTCAGATATCAGCCTCCTGAGTAGCTAGGCGTGAGCCACTGACACCCAGACTGTTATTTTTAAAGGGACAGATGAGCGGGCACTCATCAATCCACCCGATTTACATATTCCGCCAGTCTGACAAGCATTTTTTTGTTGATTTGTATAAATTGTCTTTTTTTCTTTTAATGGGGGGGGGTGAACTTAGGACCCCATGCTTGCTAGACAGATGGTCTGCTACTTGAACCATGCCTCTAGCCTTTTCTGCTTTAGTTATTGTTTTCAGATAGTGTTTCCTATTTATGCCTAGGCCTACCTGGACAGTGAACCTTCTGTTTATATGTCCTACAAAGATAGAATGCTAGGAATGTACCACCACACCCAGCTTTTTTTTAATTGGTTGAGATGAGCCTCACTAACTTGTTGCCTAGGGTGGCCTGGAACCATGAGAACTCTTAGTCTACAAGACTCTTACCTCCAATCAAATAGCAAAAAGCCAAAGTAGAGATGTAACTCAGGTGGCAGAATGTTGACCTTGAGCCCTAGTACTGTATATATCAAGTATGCATATATAAAATCTCATTGGAAACATCCATGTTAGATATTTAATTCCATTTTTTGGGGGGCGGGGTATCACTCATGGGGCTTGAACTCAGGGCTGCCCTTGAGCTCTTTTTGCTCAAGGCTACTGCTCACAACTTTAAGCCAGAGTGCCACTTCCATTTTTGAGTGGCTAATTGGAGATAAGAATCTCACAGGGACTTTTCTGCCATGGCTTGCTTTGAACTGCGATCCTTAGATCTCAGACTCTTGAGTAGTTAGGATTACAGGAGTGACCCACCAGTACCCGGCCTTAATTCTATTTTATAAATAAGAAAATTGAGGACTTGGAGGGAGTCAAGCACCTTAGAAAGTTGAACAGGCTTGAGTATGCTTATTTGCAAAAGGGTGCCATAATATAGTGCCCAAGTGAAAAAGTTATTGTTACATAAGTTACCACACTTTCTCTAAGTATGGAGAGATTCCTGGCACTTAATAAGAAATGGTATTTTCTCCTGCCATAAGCCATTCACTTCAGTCATAACAGTGTACTGCTTTTAGGGCCAGGTGGGTCATGCCTGTAATCCCAGCTATTTGGAAGATCACAGTTTGAGTATGGCTCAGGCAAAAGCTGTGAAACCCTAAAAAAAAGGGGGGAGGACAAAAGGCATAGCTCAGGTGTAAAGGACCTGCCTAGAAAGTGCTGGCCCCTGAGTTCAAATCCCAGTACAATAAAAATGAAAAAACACATGGGAACCAGTGGCTCACGCCTGTAATCCTAGTTACTCAGGTGGCTGGGAGCTAAAGATCACAGTTCATAGCCAGCTCCAGGCAGGGAAGTCTGTGAGACTCTCATCTCCAATTAACCACCAAAAAAGCCAGAAGTGGAGCTGTGGCTCAAGTGGTGGAGCCCTAGCCTGAGCAAAAAAACTCAGGGATAGTGCCCAGATCCTGAGTTCACATCCCAGGACCAGCACAAAAACAAAAATCAAGACCACCATCAGCTGCTGCTTCCCTAAACTCCTCCTAGTGCTTTCTACATGTGTTATTTTGAGTACACCTCTAACTCACTGTAACTGCGCAGGATCATTACCTAAACTTAGTCATGTGAATAGTATATACTCATACTTACATAACAAGTTCAGGGTCACTCCCAACAATTTATTAGTGTTCCCTTTCAGCTTATTTACATCCTGACTTCTAAGAGTAACTGGAGAGCTGTCTCCTCCTCCCAGATTTGCAAGACTCACTTTCCTCCCAAGTCCTTTCTTTCTTGATAACAATGTTGCTATCAATATGAGGCCCCAGGGCAAAGGGGTCCTGAGCACCTCACTGTGAAGTTACCTGGTAGTTAGAACTGACAGTCTCAATGCAAGGAGGAAGTACTGGCAGGAATTTGTCCGACAATGAGGAAAGATCCTTTTCCTCCCCTTTCCATGTCCTACCCTCACTGGAGAAACACAGGTTAGGGATCATATAATTGTGTTAAAGCTTGAACTAAAAATGAGGTTGTAACTTAAATTTTGGAATATTCAAGGGCTAAATCTGCTCAATTCAAGGATACTGGGTTCTAAGAAGCCTAGGAAAGTCAGGAGGACTTTCAACCCATTGCCTGCAGGAGATCTCATCCCTAAGACAGAGATCTAGATCTTCGTCTGCAGTTACTAGTCGAGTTCCAGTGAAAATCAGCTTATCAGAAAGCTAAAGGTCATGTAAGGGAGGCTGAAGAAGTGCTCTAGATTAAAATGTCTGAGGGCTGGGAAGGTGGCTCAGTGCTTGCCCCTCATGCATGAGGCCCTGGGTTCGATTCCTCAGTACCACATAAACAGAAAAAGTGGGAAGTGGGAGCTGTGGCTCAAGTGGTAGCTCAGGGACAGTGCCCAGGCCCAGAGTTCAAGCCCCACAACCGACAAAAAACAACAACAACAACAAAAAAAACAACCAAAACCCTAAAATGTCTGAAGGCTTCAGTTCAGGCCCAGGTTCAATCTCCAACACCAAAATAACTAAATCATTGGTAAAAATAAGAGGCATAATAACTAAATACACAATTAGTCCTTAACTGGGTCATGTACTTGAGGAGAAAAGCCCCAAAAAGCATACAACGGGAATGTCAGATGTCTGGAATGTGTATTGTCAGTCTGATCTGAACAATGTGCCAGTGTTAAATGTCCTCCATTTGACAACTGCACTGTGAATATGTGAGAACATCTTTATTCTTAGGAAACACAAACAGAAGTGAGTGTCCTGAAGGAGACATGGCACATGCAACCCTCAAAGAGTCCAGAAAGAAGTACATATCATGTACACAGAGTGGTTTTTCTAAGGTGGGGTTCCTGGAGGAGCACCAGCACCCAGGATCAGGTCAACAACACAAGCCCTTGGGCCATATGGCACACTACTAAAGCAGCTGTCTCGGGATCAGGTATCTTTTCACAAGCCATCAGGCTACTCGGAGGTCAATGCAGGAAAACTCTCCACTGACTGATAGAAAATGAGAAAGCAAATGTGTGATGTGTAAAAACTAATGAAGGGCTTATGGGAATTCCTGTATTCTTCTAGAAAGTTCCTATAGTTTTGCAGTTATTTCAAAAGGAAAATGAACAACCACAAAATTACCTGGGACAATATCTATAGACAGAGACCTTGGAAATATTGAGACTTATCAGGATGTTGCCTCAGTAGGTTACGAAGTTATGCCTGGGATTTAGACAGAGGAAAGGAAAGAGCAGATACCTGCATAGTTTCTTAAAAACAAACAAACAAAAAACCTACCTCCTTCTTGGAAGCTCTGGGCATGCACTGCACTAACCTGAGTAGGAGAGTCCAGCAATCTCCATGAAGAGGTCCTCCTCAGAGAAGCTCTCGGGGAGCATGAGAAAAGCAGCGGTCACTGCGCTCTTCAGATTCTTTTCCAGGGCTGATCTAAGAGTGACATTCTCATTCATCGCTACAATTTTCACCTGGAAAAAGAAGAACATTAAGAAGGAAAACCCCAAAAGTGAAAAACTGATTAAGCCATGGGTTGATGCACATACTGGAATTGTCCCAAGTGTCTATGAATGTAGGTCTAGGAATCTTAGCTCAATACATGAAATAGTCATTATTCTAATAAGCAATCTCAGAATCTCCAGTTGCATGCCAGTCAGAGAACTGTGGCACAACAAAGTATCACAATGCCAAGGAAAACCAAATGAGTGTTCTTTCAAAATAAGGAAACCTGCCACAGACTTAGAAAAACAGTAAACATACTTTGGGAAATGTCATGTTTAATTTTAAAGTCTTATAATTTCACTATTCTTCTAATGGAGAAGGCATTGTATATCTTTATTTCAATTTCACCTCTGCACCTGTATGTGCATCTATTACCTGGGCAGCTTATAAGCTAGCTACTTCATGAGTGTTACACACTGATTGTGAACTTGACAAAGGAAAGAAGAATAAAAATTAGTTGTAAACATGAAAATGTTGCGGTTTAAAGACAGGTCTAGACTCAAGTCTAGATACTGACCACTTATATGAGTTTGGGCAAATTAAAATTTAAGTCTTCGTCTATAAAATAAGGGAAATGGACTCATATCAAAAAATTGTCATGACAATACATTACTAAAGTGCCATGTGCAAGTAACTGTCATGCTCAAGTAAAAGTAATTTTTCCAAAATCTCCAGCTGAAGCAGCAAAAAACTGTGACTGTCCCCTAATGCATTAAAACACAAAGAGATGCAGTCTGTACTGAGATCCTTCATTCTGAAGCTTGTACTGTAGTTAAAAGGTGTTTAAGTCCCAGCTCCATTTCTGATTAGCTTTGTGAGGATGGGTCTAATTCCTCAACAACAAAACAAGGTTGAGGGGGGAAGTTCACAGGTTTGCTGGGAAAATGAGCTGAGGTATGACACACAGGCCCTGGCTGGAGCAAGCTTCCCTGGGTGTCTGTGCCCGGTGTGAGGCTTTGGCCAGCATCACCCTTGCTGGGATGGCTGTTAGAGCATTATTGTCCAACTCTGAATTCCTGAAAATGGCCACTTCCATCAAGTTCCCAGGAACCACAATGTGAGGTGACTAAGGCATTACAGAATTACCAAATTGCTTTCCAGAATGGTTATATCAAAACCTGTTGCTCCTGCCTTTCTACACAAGCGTCAAGAAATCATAAAGGCTCCCACACTTCAAGTATATCTGCTGTCTCTAAAGCATTTGGTGCTCTTCCTGTTCCAGAAAAAAGGGCATTGGTTGCCTAATACAGACTACTTAGAGCAAATTAAGATGGCACATAAAAGAAACTCCAAAATAAGGTTGGAAAGGTGGCTCAGTGGTAGAGCGCTTGCCTTGCATGCATGAGGCCCTGGGTTCAATTCCTCAGTACCACATAAGCAGAAAAGGCCAAAAGTGGCACTATGGCTCAAGTGGTACAGCACTAGCCTTGAGCTGAAGAGCTGAGGGACAGTGCCCAGGCCCAGAGTTCAGGCCCCACAACCAACCAAAAAAAAGAAACTCCAAAATAAAATTGTAATAGAAAGGAAAGAGGAAGGTGCTATTCTCAAGATGCAGTTTTTGTCCCTCTTTTTAATAGTGAAAAGCAGTAGTGCTATTAAACAGAGCTATTGGGGCTGGGAAGGTGGCTCAGTGGTAGAACGCTTGCCTTGCATGCATGAGGCCCTGGGTTCGATTCCTCAGCACCACATAAGCAAAAAGAAAAAAGCCGGAAGTGGCGCTGTGGCTCAAGTGGTAGAGCGCTAGCCTTGAGCTGAAGAGCTGAGGGACAGAGCCCAGGCCCAGAGTTCAGGCCCCACCACCGGACCCCCCCCCCAAAAAAAAAACCAAAAAACAAAAACCAGAGCTATTTATAAATCAAGGTTAACTGATACTGTATGTTTTACTTCAGGCTCCCTGCTCTTTCCAAAGGAATAGCTGTAACACACAAACCTCACCAGTTGGCAAGTAAGCTTACTAGTCCTGCAGGGAGCCTTTCAGCACTTTGGTGAGTTCACTATTACCATAACCATCTGCTAGAGAAGAACCAAGCAACACTTAAAGAGCATGGTGTGCCTAAGGGATTTAAAAAATCCTGCCAGCACTGGTACACAGTGCAAATCAAGTGATAAGCATCTCAGTGATTCTCCGGCATTGTTAGAGATGCATTCTGATTAACCTTTTCTTTCTTTTCTTTTCCATCCTTTTTGTTTCTTTTTTCTTTCTTCCTTCTCTCTCCCCATCTTCCTCTCCCTCTCTTTTTTTTGGTGGAGGGAAGAGGTTGAGACAAGAGTCTGTGGAGCCTTACTGGCCCTGAACTTGCTATACAGCCTAGGCTGTCCTTGAACTCAGGATCTTCCTGCCTCAGCATTTTGAGCGCTACGACTACAAGCTCGTACCACCATGCTCTGCAATCTGATTTAACTTCTTGACAGATAATAAGAACAATTTTTTGTAGTTGTTGCTATGTTTCTTCAGTGCTAGAAATTAAGCCCAGGCTTTGCACAAGCCAGGCAAGATTTTTACAACTGAGCTAGATCCCCAGTTCCCAACTCAGTCCTCTAAGAACCCCCTATATTTATTCTCAAACCTGGTTTCCCACATGGAATCAGGCCTAGAGGGCAATTCCTTTCCCTACTGATAGGGAAGCTTGGGGCAGAGCAGTTGAAAGGCTCCCTGGTCTTCAGCCTCTGTGTGTATATGCATGTACATGCATGTATGTGTGCAGATATGCATGCATGCTATTTGAGATGCTTACAATCCAAAACTCAAAGAGAAGCTTAAGTCTGGAAGTCTTTTCCTTGCTTAACAAAATATCACTTGTTCTCCAAGAAAGTTAAGAAAGCTACCTGCTTGCTACTGAAGGTTACGAGTGAAAATAAAAGCATCCTTACTCAAAGGGCTCTGCTACTGTGCAGATCTGGTTCTTCAGCGAAAGGTGAACTAGGAACGTGTCTCAGCAGCACTGTTATTTGTTGCTCAGTGAAAAGCCAGTGAAGCTTGGGGCACTGCCAGAGAGGCCTGGGAAAAGAAGACAGTCCTCAGAATTGTGAATACTGGGAATGCCCGACCTGAACGGCATGTTTAACGCGAGTGCCATTGCCCGCAGACACCCTTTCCTGCACAGAGGAAGGGCAATGCTTGAAGGACTCTCTAAGGAGAGACTTGGGAGTACCTTTCAAGACAGAAAAATAGTCCCACAGACTCTGGTATAACACAGTGGGCCCAGAGAGTCTGCTTGAATTTCTGTGAGGTTTTAATTGCAAAGAATACCACTCTACCTGGCCCGAAAGCTGTAACACCCAACCATATTTTTCCATTCCAAAGGACCAGGAAGGGGGACAGGTCTAGACGGTCAGACTTGAAGAGGAAGACCACAGACTTCTGGGGTGGGATGAAAGCCCTGCTGGATTGGATACCAGCAGGACTAGCAATGGAGGGTTGTTTTTTTTTTCTTTAAAAAAAAATTCCTTTGGCTTGCAAAGGGGAAGAAACTTAGTTGTCTTTTGACTAACTAAATGAATAACTCTCTTTGCATTTCAAAGGTGAGAGGTCAAAAAGCTGGCTCCCAGTAGGCATGGCCAAGCTTTGAGGAATCTTTAGTAGCAGTGTGATCTTTCTATCCACAAAATATAAATCAAAGAGCTACAACACTGTGATAGTGCCGGCTCCGATGGCTCACGCCTGTAATCTTAGTCCCTCAGGAGGCTGTGAGATCCGAGGATTGTGGTTCAAAGCCAGCCTGGGCAGGCAGTAACATCTATGAGACTCTTATCTCCAATCAACCACCAAAAAACTGGAAGTGGTGCTGTGGGTCAAGTGGTAGAGCACTAACCTTGAGTGGAAGAGCTCAGGGACAGTGTGCAGGCCCAGAGTTCAAGCCCTACGAAGACTACTACTACCACCAACAAAATTGTGATAGTTACACAACTACAAATATAGCAAAACTCAGTGAATTTGTTTCAAATAGTTGAATCAAATGGGCATAAAAATAAAGCTTATTTCTAGCAAACAAAAACAAAAAAAAACCCATTGGAATGAATACATTACATTTCTTAAGGTGACCAAAATGACGTGTGTCAATGCCAATGCTTTAAAATTTTAAGCTAGCCTGTAATCCCAGCACTTGGGAGGCAGAGGCAATGGGACCATTTGAGCCTAGGAACTGGATAACAGCCTGGGTAAAATAGTGCAGTAGCTCTCACCTCTAATCCTAACTACTTAGGAGGCTGAGATCTGCGAATTGTGGTTTGAGCCATTCTGGCAGGAAAGTCTGTGAGACTTTTATTTCCAATTAAGCACCAAAAAAAATCCAGAATTAGAGCTGTGACTTATGTTGTAGAGCACTAGCTTTGAGCAAAAAAAGAGCTCAGGGATAGCTTCCAGGCCCTTAATTCAAGCCTAGGACCAGCACAAAAACAAAACAAGAGTCAAACAAACAAAAATTTCAAGCAAAAGTACCTATTCACTAAAAACAATGTAAAGTACAGAAATACAGTGTTAAATTAATCATAAAATTGATTTATAGGGCAGGGAAGGTGACTCAGTGGTAGAGTGCTTGCCTAGCATGCATGAGGCCCTGGGTTCGATTCCTCAGCACCACATAAGCAGAAAAAGCCAAAAGTGGCACTGTGGCTCAAGTGGTAGAGTGCTATCCTTGAGCTGAAGAGCTGAGGGACAGGGCCCAGGCCCAGAGTTCAGGCCCCATGACTGAACAAGAAAACCCAACAAAAACAAAAAACTGATTCATATTGCTGCAGAGCTTTAAAAAATTTTACATTTTAAAAGGACCGCTATAATCTATCAAATACTTCCACAGACTATTCGTAGGGCTTAGAGGAGACAGCTCAGTTTGGCTCTAGGTTCCAGACCAGCAAAACTCACACACACACACACACACACACACACACACACACACACTAAAGGACTCTAAATTGAAGGCTATACTAGAAATAAAAATGGACATCTCATTTCTAAGTAATAGAAAAGTGTGATAGAATTTCAATTTACACCCATCTTTTTATCATGTGTATTTCTTTCTTTTTTTCTTTCTTTTTGGGGGGGGGTCCAGTTGTAGGACCTGAACTCTGGGTCTGGGCGCTGTCCCTCAGCTCTTCAGCTAGCGCTCTACCACTTTAGCCACAGCACCACTTCCGGCTTTTTTCTTTTTGCTTATGTGATACTAAGGAATTGAACCCAGGGCCTCATGCATGCAAGGCAAGCGCTCTACCACTGAGCCACCTTCCTAGCCCCTGTGTATTTCTTTCAAAGACTCAACAGTGATTGAGAAATTATATTTCAATCTGCAAGTTGCTTTTAAAACATAAAATCAGTACTCAGGTTCTCATAGTTTTGTTTTTGTTAGTCATGGTGCCTGAACTCTGGGCCTGGGCACTGTCCCTCAGCTCTTCAGCCCAAGGCTAGCGTTCTACCACTTGAGCCATGGCACCACTTGCAGCCTTTTCTGCTTATGTGGTGCTGAGGAATCGAACCCAGGGCCTCATGCATGCAAGGCAAGCACTCTACCACTGAGCCACCTTCCCAGCTCCTCCCACAGTTCTTTCTTGAGGCATCTATCATTGTTCCAGAAGAAGATGCTACCTGGTTTTTAATCAGCCTTGTCCTTTTTGGTTAATATTTGCTGCCACCTACAGGTCTGATTCCCAGAGGAGAGCCCATTGGGGCAGCAGTTAGATTGCTACTCTTTTGTTATTTATCATTTTTGCTTTTTAAAGAAAGCTTAGTTTTCTTTTTTCTTGGTGCTGGAGATTGCAGCCAGGGCCCTGGATGAAGGTGTCATCCCCTCACCTAACTTTCTGAGTAAGAAACTAAGAAGCATGAGCGTAACTCACTAAGAATAGCACCTTCCTCTCTATATAAAATAAAGAGTTAGGAAGTGGAGCTGTAGCCAAACTCATAGAGTGCTAGCCTTGAGCACAATGAGGCTCAAGAACAATGCTCAGGCCCTGAGTTCAAGTCCCAGGACTGGCAAAAAATAAAGAGTTACATCTTATAGTGCTTGTATTCTGAGACTTTATGACATTTTGGGGTTTCAAAAACCTAGTCTTAAATCATTCCAGGCAGTTCCTATACATAGAAAAATTCATTTTCAATTTGACCTCATTTTTATCTCAAAATGCCTAAGACAGTGGAGGATGGGAAAGGAGAACTACCGCTGAGTGCCTACTATGTGCCATCCACAGAGGAGGTCACCTGGAGGTGTATGCGGGAAATTCATAGCGGGCAGGGTCAGAGCTGGGATCTGAGTGCTGTATCTCTCAGACTCTAAAACGCCTGTGCTCTTTTGGGAGCTTCTAACAACTGGCTGGCACAGCTGCACCACCCTGCTCCCTTGCAGACATGGGCTATGACACCCAACTCTGAGGACTGTTAAGTGCTGGAAAAATGTGTAGGGATTTGTTTGGCTTTTATTTTCCTCCTCTCCAACTTTCCTGACACCAGCTGTGTGGTTTACAGTCCAATTCATTTCACACATTACCCACCTGGAGTTTCATACAGACCTCACAACCAGTATGACTGTACCCACTTGACAGAGTGTGGGAAGAAGGTAAAAAGGGCTAGTATAAACTCAGGGGTGGTTGAGAGGGACTGGTTACCTTTACCCCTCAGGAATTCTCCTTGCCAGGAGTCTATACATACTTTGCATTCATACAGTATCACAGTGACACTGTGGATACTGTTGGATACTGTTGGGTGAAGAGTGTGGAGTCTAAACATATTTCCACTCCACTTTTTGCAGTTCTATCTCACCACAACCGCAGGCACTTACCGGTTTTTGCAGGCGTCCAGCAATGTATAAGTTATTCCAGTTGAGGAGATCTTCGATTAGAATACTTGTGCTAATAACCCCATATTTGATGATCTGAAAAAGCAAAGAAATGGGCATGACAAAGAGCAAGACACCAGACTCTTACTTCTGCGAGTATAAAAGGAAATAGCAAATTCTTGACCAGAGTAGGACCCTGACTCCCAAAGCTACTCAAAATGTCTACCCTGTGAAAGTCTCTTCAATCTTAAGTTTTCACTGACATCCTTGAGGTTGTGAATCACCCTGCTGCTGTTGACTCTTTTAAAGCAACATCCAAATATATAACCCTGTTATTCAAATATACAACATCCACCTATACAACCTTGTTATTAGTGTTAAACATGTGGAATGTCTAAGCCTGTAACAATGTGTATAAATCTTAGCCTAAACCCTGAATGTAGATTTCCAAGGATACAACTATCTCCAGATTTATTTTCCTCAATTTCAGTACTCAAATTGCTGTCTCAGACTGCAAATACCTAAAAAGCAGCTCAAGAATTGTAATGAAAAAGTGCAGCCCTTTTGGCATACAAACATTTGGTTACTGGAGCTTGTAATACTGTTTGAAAATTACTAATGAGATGAAGCCTAGGCATAAGCTTAGTGGGGGCTGCGGTGGAAGTGGAATACTAGATGCATGATCTCCCGGCGGGGCTGCGGGGAGCTCTCCCTGCAGCCAGCAGTGGCAGCCTGTGTGTATGTGGGGGTGGGAGTGGTGGTGATGAGACCGCTGCAGTCCCGGTCGCTCGGTAGCCGAGTGACCTGTAGAAAGCCATTTCACCTCTGAACCTTCCAAAATGCAGGCACAGCAGAAAAGGACCTTGAGCAGAAAAAAGGCAAATATCTGATCCTAGAGTACAGATCACTAGTCAACTAGAGTACTCAGCACGTATCCAAGTCACAGGGGTCTTCACAGTCTCAAGTCAGTACTCCAACTCCTAACATCTCCCTCCTTAATCCCCCTCCCCCAAAACTCTGAATGAAGCCCAGTGCCTTGTACATGCTAAGCAAGTGCTCTACCACAGAGCCGCATTCTCAGTTCAGCTCTGGGACAGCTCCAGCTGGTGAACAATCCTCATTCGGGACTCACCTGCTCATTGGTGATCCCGCCCACCTCTGACAAGAGGATCCTGTCCATCACTTGTACCTCATCTCCAACTCCCTTTCCACTCTCAACCTCTTCCTAGGGCGTCTGCTCTCACATTCCTCCTGCTGGCCACGCCAGTAGTTCTCAAAACTTGACTCCCACATCTGTAACTTCAGCATCATTTGTAAGCTTGTTAGAAAAGCAAATTTTCCTACCCTACCTACCCCAGACTTACTAAATCATAACGTCTGGGGGTGGAGCTCAGCAATGGTGTGTCCAACAGGGTAATGCTCCCCACTAAAACTTGACGGCGACTGGGCCAACTGCAAAAATAAAGTCAGCTGCATTCAACCATCTTCTCACACCATAATCAATTACATGGAGACAACTCTAGGTCCTGTCCTGTCCCTGTCTTACTGATGTTCTATTGACAAAGGTTAAAGCCAAAAGGCAAGGCAAAGGCTAGACGTCACCTACCCTGCCATCACACATGATCAACGGGTTGTAGTAAACTCCGGCTCCATAGTTGTTCTGGACAGATGTGATAAACCTGGGCCCCAAAATTTTGAGGAAAGAGTAGTGGCTCCAATTCTTCTTCAGGTTCTTGGTGTGCCATGAGACAGGGTCATCCACTGTGAACACCAGGTCCAGCATGGCCCTCTGGAATGTGAAGGAATGAGAATGAGTTCACCATTCAGTGCTGAAAAGGCAACCAGATGGAGTAGAGACCATGCTCAGCTGTCAGCCAACCCATAGGACCTGTTTTCAGAACAACACAAGTAATGAGCAAACAGTGCTAGTTACTGGTATTTCACTGGTGAACCAGTGCTCTTCCACATCCTTCTTTTCTCCTCTCAATCTTATTCCAAAAGCAGCCCAGGCCCTGGGTACACTTTGCCCCAGGGAAGAGTCAGTAAGATGGTGTGTCAGAACAAAGCACACAGCTAAGCCACTGCGGCACCAACTTCCTTGAAGAGAAACGAGGCTCCACTCTCCTTCCAGCTCATGCGAACAAGCTCCATAAAACAGTCAGTGGGTTATTCCAATGCTCACTCGCTCAACAACTATACACAGAGTATCTACAAAGTCTGAGAGGATGCAGAGAAGAGTTTAGTTTATCGGGGATAAACTACCACTATGACCAAACTGCTGTTAAATTCATTGATGGATGAATGTAGAATATACAAAACTTCACCCAGAATGGGGTTGGACAAAAAGAACAAGAGGGAGAAACTTTCCTAGAGATGACAAGTGTGAGTCTTAACAGCTAGGTGCTGTAGCTCTCATCTATAAACCCAGCTACTCAGGAGGCAGCGATCAAAAGGATCACAGTTCAAGACCAGCCCAGGTGAAAAGGACTGTTTAAAGGGAATGAGAAGAATCTGTTTTGGGAGGAGATGGGAGGTGAAGCTCAGAGGAAGACTCACTGAAACATGAGAAGGTGGTACGCAGAGATGAGGGTCCCAGCTTGGACCCCAGACCACTCCTTACATGGAAGACTTGGAGGAAACAAGGGTAATCATGTTCCTGAAGTATCTGTAGTCATGATAGCATATATTAGACGACACTGAGACAGTGACCTCTCATTTCCTGGATGCTGCTTAGAGAACCCTGTCCATGACAGCAAACTGGATTGGAGCCACAGCACGGCGGGGCTCCCCAGACAGCGGGAAGATGAGGCCCCGCGGCAGGCTGTGTGCGTGCGCACAGAACGCTGTCCCCACCAGGAAGCCGGCTCGGCCACGGCTGCCCAGCCAGGGCAGGATGGGGCCGGGTTGGCACCGGACACACGGCCACCCATGGGGCCCACAGAGGTCTGCCCGGGGCCGGCCCAGCCTTGGCGTGCAGGGAACGCACTTGAGCACTGCCCGGGACTAGGAAGGTTTAATTCTCAAAGCTGACTACCCGTTCTGGGGCAGTTAGATCGGAATGTCCCCGAGTGGGGCCCGTCAATAGAAGCATGAACATGTACATAAATTGACACATACCAAGACACACACAGCCCTCCCTGGACTCTAGAATCCAGAATCCCGCAACCCCTCAGCTTCCCGCCGCCTACTGCACCGGGGCCGCGGGGCCGCCGAGGGTCACGGGGGACGGGAGAGGCCACGGGGGACACCGGGGACCACGGGGGGGGGCTGACGGAGTCGCGGGGGTCACGGGGGACGATGCTGGGGTCCCGGCGGGGCTGACGGGGTCACAGGAGTCACGGGGGGACGACACTGGGGTCCCGGCGGGGCTGACG